AAACGGCTAATCCTCTTGAAATTACACATTTTCCTCATGTCTGACTCCTTGTTCAATTTGAACTTTCTATATTTGAATGAAAAATCATTGAGACTATGGCCGAGTTGTTTGTAGCTTGATTTGAGAGTTTGCAGACCAAGCGCGGAATCTTACGACTATTATGAATTCTATTATGAAAATACAACCGTTGCATGGAAGCAAACGTACAAGAGATGCTTGATTATACTCTTCTAAATCTTACCTATGCTCAAGACGAGACAAATAATGGAAAAAACTATATTGGCGGCTTATAGAGACCATAAGTCGTGAATTGTGGCTCTTTGTGTGCAATACACACATCAAGTTAGCATTAGAGTATGTATGTTGAGACTAGAAGATCGAGGATGCTGGTTATAGCGTCACAAATTCAAATTCTCCAAATAATCCTTAATTATTGCAGATCACTGATGGTTTATGGAAACAGTCAGTGAACCTCTCGATATGCTTTTCGAGCTCCCGTCAGACAGCTACTGTGGTTACGGTAGAAATTCGGGATCGAGGATCTGGAAATCGCGGTGAAGCCGCGACCACCTTCGATCCATTATATCCCGGATTCGAAATTGTTCCACTTCGGCCTGTGTACAACGCTAGAACAAAAGAACTGTTGCTAAAGGTACAGCTGTGTTTCGAAATTTATTATGCATATTTCAAAAATTCATGACCGGGATTTTGAAATAGCCATAAACACTTATGTGCGTCAAAGACATCTTTTTCTTGCAGATAGATTCTGTCGGAGCACCTGTAGGATCACATGTGGAAGTGATTTTTTATTGCCTTGGAGACGTAATGCAAAAGTCGAACAGCACGGAGACACTTGTTGGAAATGTGCTAAGTTTCGAAAAACCGGAAGAATGGAATAAATGTAACGTGATTATGGTAGAGGTGAGTTTGTAATGTGCTAGAGTCAAAGAAAGACTAGATAACTTACGTTAGTTGTTAGCCAAGAAATGCTTCGTCATAGGGTGCATAAAATAGAAATCTCTCAATATTTTACTGTGCTGCACTCCCTAGCTTTACGGCGATTTTATTATGAGAAAAATTTAGCTGCTTTTTTTTCTTGACATTGGTCTTACTAAATTATTCAGGTGTATAGTTAGCCTATTCTTACTCCCACGGACATCTGCTATACATGCTCTTTCTCATGCGAATAACAATAGTTGCTATTCTCGCGGGAATGTTGTGAGAGTGCCCCCAAAAGCGAATAGAGACAAAGCTTTCAAGGATTGCTCAATAACAACCTGGTTGACCCTTGTGGTTACATAAATCAGCAAAGTGCATCCATATGTCATATAAAGGATTGTCGCAGTGTGATATAGTCAAGATATCAAAAAAAATTGTTGACAAGATAAATCACTGGAAGTTGAGATCTTGGCCAAGTAGAGCAACAAGACTCTAACTATGTAAGCCATCGCCTGAAGTGCGACTGCAAAACGTCCTTTTAAAGGAATAAAATTGCTTCAGACACAATATCTTGCAGTCGAACTTTTCAATTTTGCTCTTCACAGACCGTGAACCTTGATGAAAAATGATCTGGCAGTAGTAGTGCATCTTTTAACTCATCTCAATTCTCTACTATTGGCTGCCACAAGTCTCGACACGCTTTCCTTGGTTGAAAAAAATTCTAAATTGGATGCGATTGAGCTTGACCTTCTGGGGGATATTCGCACTTTCACAATAGCTTTAGTTAGACGGCTTGCTATTGCGATCTATTTGGTTGTACTAAGATCAAGTTCAGTTTACAATTAAAGCAATCTTGAGGATATAGTCAGCTACCTTTGTTGGTTGCATGAATTCGGCCCATTATTAGGAAAACAAATCAAAATCTGTGAAATACCAACATAGCTAAGAGACTCTGTCGGAGTCAATGTCGAGTATACAGACGTGAAAAAGGAAACCAAGATTCAGTTTTTGGAGTCTTCGTCTAGAGGTGTTTTAACTTCCCACAAAAGAGCGTAACTTATCCACAAAATTTATAAGCATATATTGAAGAAAAAGAGACTGGTGTTCCAGAGATTTCAATTGAGTTGCTGAAAATGCTCGCAGGGCTAGTCTATCAACTGCGTTGAAAAATTTGTAATTTTATCGCTGTTCTACGTTTCAAAAGAAACTGAGGGGTATGCAGTTAGGTGCGAATAGTCGTCATTTTTGAAGATTCTCTGTATTATTAATTACTTGTAGTTTTGCAAGGTGTTATCGTCCAACGTAAGCATGCTTTTCTTATCTTATATCTTGAGAAAAAATATGTAGCCATCATTCGTCATGATAAGGAAAGAAAACTTGGCTATTTCAAAAGCTAACAGGCTGGTTCATATATCTTGCACAAATATGAAATTACGGCTAAACAAGAAATCTCAATTGGATAAAGTTTATGACAATCTTGACTGGTTTAAACAGTAGGAGAATAGTAGTAAAATTGAGCTTCATTGAGATATGGTCATAGGATCTCGAAAAACTTGTTTCGAGATTGTTCAAACAATTTCAGTTCATATCTTGTAGTCTCAATATAAAACGAATGTTTTTTTTCCATTCCAGCATATCCGAGTTTTTATTCCAAGCAAAAACAAAACAAGGAGTGAAAATAGTCAAACATCATATCTTTTCTTGGAAGCACCCATTTAGTACGAGCTATGTTTGAAATTATGTCAGAAAGCATAACTAAAACTGAAATCAGAATATAGAGTGTTGAGATTAAGAAAAAACGATATTGTTCATCGTTTTCGCCCACTATACATAATTGTGCCAGCATTACTTTTTGCTTATCAAAACAAGTACAATTTTTTCTCCATCCAAACTGGAGCAAAATACATAACTTTCAAATTTGTTGCGATTTTTGGACCAGCCTAATACCCTACGCACTCTGAGCGTGCTTTTTAAATTACAAAGTAAATTTCAGGCAACTCGGAGTATTGGAACCACAAAGACACGAAAAAAGACGTTAATGTTGCCGATGATAGCAGACCAGTCGGCTCTAGAACCATCGTGGATTGAAATCGAATCACTTCGAGCTGCCTACTACGTCGGCGAAAGTCTGAATGTATCCGTGCAAGGAGGCGTGGCACCACGTTCGTTGAATTATGTGGTGCGTGCTACTCTTATGTGTTTTATTATGTTTACAACCACGCAATATTGGCTAATTCCGTAGAAATGGAAGGAATTT